CCGTTTTAACTCGCCAGATTGGGCCGAGTGCCGGGGCCTAATGCATGCACACACACCTTATGACAGGCCCGCGGTACAGATGGTCTGAGCGTGAGCCTGAATGAGAGGGGGACCATCCGCGGCTGCTGACGCATTGTGGGGGGACGTCGTCTTCAATACAGCACTTAATGAGAACAGACTGACTCTTTCGCCCCCCTCCCCATCCCCTCCTCCTCCTTCCTCCGTCCATTCTATTCCTCCCCCCCCTCCTCCTCCTCCTCCCTCCTCTCTCTGATTCTCCACTTCTCCTCTCCTCTGCCCATTTCCATCTGTTTGGAGACAAAGGGCCACGAGCCAGCTCGAGCCCCGGGACCCTGCTGGTGAAGTAGGCAGGGATAATACGGCCCATCCCGGGGGCTGCATTTCAACACATGGACCAGGCTTTGTACTTCTGCTGCACGAGCACCCTTCATACTTCACACACACACATACACACACACACACACACACACACACACACACACACACACACACACACACACACAAGGAGGGACGTGCAAGCTTCACGCACTCCCACAAACACACACCTCTGTGAGAGAGGCAAGAGGGAGGAAAGAAGGGGTGGTGGTGGTGGTGGTGGTGGTGGGGGGGTTTGCAATATTGATGGGGGAGTTCTCGCCTTGAACATGAACACTTCCATAATACCCAACGACATAGAGAATAAAAGAGAGGGCGAAAAAATGAGGCAGCACAAAAAGCCCCAAATGTTGTTCCTCGTACTGTGAACATATGGCTGTTTGTTGTCATACTCTTTCTCCCTGTCCAATTTACAGAGAGCTAGTGAGCTCTCAGAATTAAATGGGTGTGTGTGTGTGTGGGGGGGGGGTGTGTGTGTGTGTGTGTGTGTGTGTGTGCTCCTCCTGGCTTTGAGTATACCTGAATGATGATGAGGAGAAGGATGTCCAAACATTGATAATGGCCGCTGTATAATCCCCTGCTGTCTGCACACACCTCCTGACATATGGTCACTCCACGGCCTCCACCATTACATAAGCCCACAGTGCAAAGAGGGTGGGGTGGGTGGGGGGGTCGTGGTGAAATGTGGTACTTTCTCACACTCACACACACACACACACACACACACACACACACACACAAGCATGCAACCGGCCACACTGTCAGCCAGGCTGTTCAGTGCCCTCAGCAGTTTGGGCTTCGCCTGTCACTTTTCTCTCCCCTGCCCCTTCTGGGGGTTTGTAAAGAATAAATTGAAGAGGACTGATGCTACGGAAGCTTTTGGGATGAGGAGCACAAATGGCCTTGTAGTGCTTCACGGCGACGTACAGATGGACTCCTCCATTCAATAAGCTTGAGCAGAAGTCTTATCTCCACACCATGCCAGAATCACAGAGCTTGTTTTGTGTTCTGAAGAGGACAATCTGTTGATGCAACATATTGGTGTTCCTTCCTTTCTTTTTTTGGTAAAAGCACGGACAGAGACGTCTGAAACGCTGGACCGGTCCGGCTTGAATGACGTAGGACAAAATGTTATAATGAAAAACAAAAGATTTTTGAACATTTAAATGTTTCAAAGTGATTCTTATGTGATGCAAACTGCTGACTGGGGAAGTTTCAGTTGAATGTAATGAATCCGCTGCCTTTATTTTGTGACTACTGGATGGGTTTCTGCTTTTGTGTGTGTGCAAACAGAACATAAAGTGAATTTTAGAGGTTTAGACTGCATACAAAGTCAGTGAGTCAATGCACGAAGGCCTGGACTTCAGGTATCTGCTTCATAAACGTACATAGACGAGAGGAAAAAGGAGACTTGAGGAAACAATAGAAACAATCAGAGTTTCAATCTGAACTGAACACAGACACAGTCGGAACCTGTTGCTAGTTAGCTTACAGCTAACATCTGTCCAGTTGGTACAGTGGCTGTTTGCGGCGCACATTGTCACATATAAAGATGGACGACATGACAGCTCCCTCAAAAGTGGAGCCAAAACATCTCCATCGCCTCCTGCTGGCTGGCTGCAGTATCGCTCATACAACCTGCTGCCTCCATGTTAGCAGGTAGTTCTTATCACGAGATGTATGTTCAAGTTTTGCTGATCCAGAGTTATTTGAAGCTCAGCTGGGCGTCTGGGTGGGACCCCGATAACGCGGCACCAACACCGATCACTACTGCGCAGACTCTGGCTCCGAATGACGTCACCAACACAAGATGGCAGCGGGGTTATTTGTATCCGGGTTATTTTGGCTTAATTTTTGTACAGTTGGAGGTAGTTATGTAACTTTTGCTGAATTGTACACATTGTATTTCTCTATATTCTCTCGAGTCTGTAGCTTTAAACCTGCCCCGAAACAAGCTATGAACACAACATTGACCCATCATCACATTTTTAGTTGATGGCGAGCTTCATTGTGGTCACGGCGTTAGTGGCCACTGGTGAATTTTAATCCAATCTTCTCTCTCGTTTTAGCTCTGTTTTTGGTCTCCACCAACTCCTGAAGGAAATATCTGACTCTTCAGCTGCTAAATGCTCCACTATGTCCACCAGCTGGTCTCTGACTGTGTGTGTCTGATGTTGATGAAGCAGTGAGAGTGAACCAAAACAGTAAAGTTGCAGATTGCGGTGATAATTCTCTGTAGGTTCATCACATTCACATCGTTTTCATATCGTCATTTACAGTTTTTCTCCATTGGATTGGCCCATTTCTTGAAACAGAAATGACACTTGGCAATTGTTGACAACAGAATTGTATTTCTCACTGATTTCATCACATTGCAAATGTCTTAGTACATCTTTGCAAATGATTAAGTACAGTTAGCCTACATTTAGCACAATTTCCAAGTGAATAGATCCTGTTGATCTAAACTGATTGATTGATTCTCAGTCTAATGGTTGTTCTCTCCAAAACATGTCAGCATCATTTCATTCTATAAGTCATCACATGCACAATAGTCTGTTCAATTGTCAACATAATACCATGAATACCATATACTGTATTTATTTACAGCACTGTAGGCTACATGTAATTTTCCTTGTTTTTGTTTATGTGTTTATATAACAGTATATTATGCTTTATACATTTTCTTTTTACTCTGATATGGAGGTTAGTTTATGTGTGTGAATAAGAATGGCTACCTTTCCTTGGCAGTGTGAGTGCAATGTGTGATGTCAAACCTTAGAGGCTACTCTTACCCTAAAATCCTGTTTTTTATTTTTTTTATTTTTTCAGTTTTATACACAATTGTATTTTGTTAGCTAGACTAGTACAGTAACCATTGTGAATGAAGGACTGGGCTAAGACTGAGAGGAGGACATGAGGGATATTTCAATAGTCCTCTGCCATAGTGACAAAACATCGAAACATTTTGACTTGCAGTGCTTACACAATGCCAAAGGGACGATGCATTTTGGAGGCACTGACTATTTATATGAGAAAGAGATTTAGTTTTGACACAAGAGTGAACTGTTTGGGGAGATATATGAGCTTTTACAGGTGAACTATGGTGTTGTGCTGAACTGTACGACTGTTTTGCCAAATGATCTTAGAGTTCTGAGAATGTAATTTCTGTTTCGAGAAATGAGCCAAACCAGTGGAGGAAAACTGTAATACGTTGTATAAAAATGTTGATGATAGACTTAAAGACACCATTATTAGGCCACTCAGCTAAAGTTTGCTAATGTTAGCCACCACAAGCTACTGGTCAAACCAGACCAGCTAATTCTGTAGCAACAGAAGCTTGAAATGGGTTATATTGCTAATGAATTCAACTTTTCATTTATAAGACCAATGTGTTATTGCAGTTTATTAGAATGAGTAGTTGTAAAAGCAGCCTTGTCACCTTACAAACATTGTTGTGTGGGTGCACTGAAGGTAATATAAGAAAGTCAGCCACATGACTGACAAACTGACAGATGCCAAATAGAAAAAAATGAGACACAGGAGGCCCTTGAGCTGAAAGGAAAGAACATTTCATGCTACCTTCAGTCTCCACAGATAAAAAGATTTCAACCACTGCAGCTGCCACCTGAAGAGAGAGAGAGATATAGATAGATATAGATAGATGATAGATAGATAGATAGATAGATAGATAGATAGATAGATAGATAGATAGAGTATCTAATCATACATCTTTGACATATGCATTCTGTTGCTCAATTGGAGCAGCTTAACCGTGGCATTTCCAGGGTGAAGGGTTCGATTCCCACTAGGGCCACCCATGCTTGTGCTAAAAAAAAAAAAAGGTTGTCTCATGATAATCTAATGAAGCCTGGATAAAAGCATTCACACATCCTGCACATCTCTGTAACTCAACTACAAGCTTTTTATAGCCCAATCGATGGGAACAGGCGTATATATATCACAAATGAATATAAATATTTGGACCTTTTTGTTCATACCATTTGGCAATATTACATCTCGGCGCTTGCTCGCTCATAAATTTCCATCTCTCCCATCCCTCCTCTCTCCCCGGGTTTCCCACGGGAGGTGCCAGACGGCCAGTAATTTGGTTGTCTTGGCTCGTCTGGAGTAACACCTGCCCCCTCTCTGGGGAGGGAGAGAGCCTTTCAGCCAGGAGCACACATGTAGGCTACCACTGCCTTTAGCTGCTGACCACTGTGTGTGTGTGTGTGTGTGTGTGGGGGGGGGGTCTGTGCAGGGTGAGTTTTCTGCTATCTGCATGGGTTTGCACTTATTTCACCTTGCACTGTGTGTGTGTGTGTGTGTGTGTGTGTGTGTGTGTGTGTGTTCAGAAAAAGCCATCTGAAAGCTCGTGCGCTGATCTGCATGAGCACTCATACCACCCCGCGCGTGTGCGTGTGCGCGCGCCTCTACGCGAGCGTGAACCTGACGTCATCGTGTGCAGTCTCCATCATTGCAATCAGCTGAACGTCAGCGGCAGCCATCAGAGCATATTCGGCTGTTAGCTCGTTTTTTATACTTTAAAAAGGACAAAAACCTGAATGAGGTTCATTTTAAAAAAATGTTTCAAGACAGGAGCGGGGTTTTTTTTTCAAGTATTTCCGTTTTAATTAAAAATAACACCGGAAAATATGAAAAGTTTGTCCATTAGAAACCAGCTGTCACACAATACCTCTACTACAAAAGATCTGCATAAAGCAACAAGTAGCCTACACAACCCTGAAGAGACAAAAAATCTTTGGATAGAGGATATGTTTTTTTTTTCTTCACTATAAAATTACGTATTGAATTTCTTAATACAAAGCAGAGACAAATAAATAAACCAATCCATCAAAATAAAAACATCCAAACATTGAAGATAATAAATTCAGACTATGTTTTTCGAAATTATTAGTATTTTTTTTTTTTTGGTAACAGCAAAAAAGAGGTTTGCCTCTGAATCGTATGATAACCCCTTGGTGGTAGAAACTGTTTGACATAATCATTCACATGATTACATTATTCTGTCACTGAAACAAATTCTTGAAATTGAATTACATTTTTTTTTTTTTTCTAAGCAGCCCAATTCGTATTCTTCGAGCAACCTCTGAACACAACAATGTAGGGAAATAAACATTTATGGGGCCATTGAGCTCCATCTTGAAGTGCTTATCGTTGCTATTGATAGACAATAGACGTGACATTAAAAAACAAAAACAAAAAAAATAAGATGACATACATCAAACATACATCAAACGAATAAATTATGCTATGGATTAACAGAAAGTGCCATTTTTAAGAGTAGAACACAATCACTTTCCAAGTTCAATTTCACAGCCTAAAATATAGAAGCAACAAACAATATACATTTATACAAAAAGACGCCAGCCTATGATATCAACATAAATAAATTAGCCTTAAATATTAACACAATTAAATAAATAATTCCATACACTTTAAAAAAAAAAAAAAATGATTAAGGTCACAATTTTATATGTCATAAGTGGCACTTACGCATTGAATCTTTTTTTTTTTTTCGCCTTCCTTTACGGAAAATCATCTAAAACTAGATCTAAAGCAGCTATCTCGTTTACATCCTTTCATTTCGCTCTGCCCCCCCTCCGACCCAGTGTTTGTTTCATTGGACCTCAAATTGATACAGTGAGCGGAGGACTTTGGAGGGGGGGGGGGGCTTTATAGGCAGGGTTATTTGTGTGAGGGTTTAATGTGGAGATCAAATCAAAAGTTTATCTGAAAACCAAATTCTTGATATTCATTATAGCACCCACTCCTCCTCCTCCACCCACATTTTCTCCACTACATCACTTTTTGTGGTGGTGGATGGATGGTGGGTGTTAATGGGGGGGGGGAGAGACTCTGACAGCCCCGTCCTCCCCCCCACTGTACATCGGAAAATAATCATTATTCTCATTATTGCATCTATCAGCTAAACGCCTCGGCGTTTGTTGCTTTTGTTCAGTGGGCGGTCTGGACTCAGTTTGAGACAACTTTACACCCTAAAAACCAACACTGGACTCACACTGAGGAGGGGGGGGGGGCAACTCAGTCAGCTAGAGAGGTATGGCAAAGTCCCAGCATCCGGGGACGAGATGGGTTCATCTAGTGGGGAAGTTGTTTAATAGATTTTGGCTCTGAAGGCTGAATTGGTGGTTTTTTTGTGTGTGTTGTTTTTTTTAAAGCGATTTGAAGCTTGTTAGTAATTAAAACCTCAAAGATTTAATTGGAGTCCCTGAAGTCGAAGCAGGATGGGAGCTGCTGTCACAGGTGTTAGACCGATCCGTCTGTATGAGCCGATATTGTCATTTTATATGATCCAGTTAGAGAGTTTCCTCACTGAATACTATAGCTTCATAGAAAAAACTGATCTGGGATGACATATATTTGTTCTAATTAACAAAACATTCATTCGGGTTGTTTTTAATCTCATGAGAGAGTTTTTAAAAGGCTGTCAAGATTAAAATTCAGGACTCTTTTCATTTTTTTTCATCACACCCAAACTGACTAATTTAAAGGTTGTGAATGTTTGCACATGATACCAGCTACAGGAGGCTATAAAAACACCAGGTATTAAAACATCCCCGCCATCAGTCGACCCTATCTGCCCAACCTTGCCATACCCAGTTGACACCCAGCGTGCGCTTGAGTCCAGTCTACCAACCCAGCCATCTCTGTCTCACAGGGGGGGTCACTCTTAGACATCCAACACGTGATTGAGATAGGAGATGTAGCATATAGCCAGTCTGAGGATCTCGATCTTGGAGAGTTTCTTGTCCGGGGGCAAGGTGGGGAGTAATTTCCTCAGCTCCGCGAAGGCCACGTTAAACGCCTCCACCCGGATCCGCTCTCTGGTGGCGTGGGCCGAGCGGTACTTGGCCGTGGCCCTCCTCCTCCTCCTCTTCTCCTCCCTGCTCAGGGGCTGGTCGGATTTGCACTTGGCCCTCTCCTCGCCCTCCGTGGGCTCGTCCGAGGTGCAGCCGGCCGACTTGAGGCCGTTGAGCATCGTCTCCGGGTCGGACTGAGTCCAGGAGAGGTCCGCCTCAGCCTGGTCCGGGCTCAGCATCATTTTTATTCTCGGGTGTTGGCAGTCACTCCTCCTTAAGAACCTGTAGCGTGGACAAAACCAGCCATTAAAACATTACATTTAAGCTATTCCCTTCTTATAAAATGTGATCCCAAATACAGCAAGGTGAACTGCACCCGTGTGACATTCAGCGTTTTATATAAAGACACTAAACTGACCCTATTCTTAATACATATGATCGAAACTCGCAAAGAATATGCAAAAAATAATTTAAAAAATGTCAATTAAATGTAATTGTTTTCAGTGTTTTCTGCCACCCTGAGGCCCCAGTATGAGAAATCCCATAGCGGGTGCTTGTTTGGGTGCCAGGACCCCCCATAAACCCAAACGCAGTCCACGTTCGTTGCATAATAACATTAAACTCCATAAATAATGAATGGCTCCAAATACTGGTGTAATGGTTAATTTATTTAAGCCTAAGGCCTAAAAAAAAAAAGAGCCGAACAATTAGGCAGAAGCATCACATTTTCAAAGTGTCATATTGGATTTTTCTCTCAAATTATTATTATTAAAAAAAAAAAAGAGGATGAAAGTTGTGATCATTTATGAAGGAGAAACTCCCCTTTTTTTGGGGGGTGAATTAACATAATCAGAATTGGCCATCTGTCACAGTGTGATGAACACATCTGCTTGGCTGAGGCCAGAGTGACTTGACAGCATGGAGGCAGAAGACGGCAAAAATAATGTTGACATCTGCTGGACAACAATCAGTGGAGCTGTTGTGCTTTTAATAAAGTAAAAATATGTCTATGAGTGGCTTATAATAATAGAAAACAGGTGATTGAGGCATAAATGTTTGTAGAAACTGATACAAAATTATAAGTGTGTTTAGATTGTTTATTTTCCACATTTGAGACTCACCTTGACAAAGAGTTGGGAGGCGAAATATCTTCTGGGAAACGAACTTAAAAAAAAAACGCTCTTGAGCGGAGCTTCAAGTCCAAATTAACTCATATTCCACCGGACGAACCGACCATCAGATGTCACACAGATTGAACCTGCAGCCTCCCGGAAACCAAAAAAAAAAGAAAAGTTAAAAATAAAAAAAAAATAAAACTATTTTTTTTTTATTTCTACTTTTTCAGCCGCGAACTTGCAACATGGAGAATCACGCAGGAGGGTGGGGGGGTCAACACCGTCAATGCGAGGAAATGTTTCTGCAGATCAAAAACAGTCCCGAAGTCTTAAAGATGATCAGTCGATTAAAAAAACAACAGAGGAGGAAGAAGAAGAAGAAGAAGAAGAAGATAAGAGTGATGGGAGCAGGGATCAGTCAGCCCTCCGTGTGATCCCGGAGATGGAGAGACAATAGAGGAGATGGGCAGATAGTGGAGAAAGTGCAGACAGAGAGAGAGAGAGAGAGAGGGGCTACTCGTCCATCCGCCTGTGTGGAAGATAGGGGATAAAAGGGGGGCGAGATAAGCGAGGCTCTGCCCGTGTGAGGAATCAGCGGATCGGAAGGCAGTTCACGGATAATCCGCCTCTCTCCCTTTTTCTCCTCCAGTCTTTCTTCCGCCGAGTGTCATATGCGAGATAAGATCCAAACGATCCCGACTAATAAAGGCTCACTTCAGGGACGGAGGGGATGGAATATATTTGAGGAATGGTATTGTCTAACACCGCCCCCTCCCTCCCTCACCCTTCCTCTCTCTCTCTCTCTCTCTCTCTCTCTCACACACACACACACACACACACACACACACACACACACACACACACACAACACACACCTCCCTCCATCCCTCTCTCTCTCTTCACGCCCCTCAGCCCTCAAGCGCTCTCCCTCCCGTGGGAGTAGTGGGCAATGGGAAGGCAGAGATGTGTGCATGATAAAGGATGGTTTAAAATAAATAAAAACATAAATACGTGTTTGTAAGTTTGCGCACGTGCTGTCGGTGAATAGCAAGGGTGATTAAAAAAAAATGAGGAGAGAGGAAGTGAGACTTTACATCTGATTGGGCTACAAGTCAGAGGTCCTTCCTAAAAATGTCATTTAAGATGAGATAAGGTGAGATATCTTTTTCCCCAGGAGGAACATTCAACCACAGTGAGGGAGAATAGTGAGGGGGTAGATGGGAAATTCACACACAACCTGCTTGTTTGTGTTACTTCAGCTTGTTGAAACCAATAAACATGTTTTTATAAATGATTCAGACAGTTTAAATGCCTCTTAAATATAAATGAAACTGATTTGATTCCTTGTTTCCGCAGGCACATTGTGAATTCACTTGTTGACGTGTGTTTGATTCGTCACCATTGTAATAATTAAATCTATGAGGTACTATCAATAGCTTTTCATCTTGAGTCGGTTGGATACTGCGAGTGAGACTAAAATACTGAATGACTTCTTCACTGACACCTGAGTCTGCTGATTGGATCATTTTAAAAAGGAATAAAAGTGACTAAACTCAGTCTATATTCTGTGCTGTACACGGCTTAAATAGGATTCTTTTTATATTTGCTACCTTGTTCCCTTTTATTATTTAGTATTTCATATAAATGTTTTAATATTGCTCCTTCACATGTGTTTGATGATTCTCACTGTAGTATATATAATAACCTGCAGATTCTTTCTTAGATAAAAGTACCAATAGGCTTCAACAATGTCAAAATATGTAATTATAAGTACAACTTAGTGCAGAAGTTTTATCAGCTAAATGTACTTAAAGTGCCACAATGTCTCTGCAGATCTATACTACTATATATAACATTATTAGACTGTTAACACTAATGCAACAATGTGTTTGATATAGCTGCTCGTAACAAAGCTACTTTATATAGTTAGTTTAGTCGATTGGTTCCCAACCTAGGAGTGAGGCCTTCTACACAGTCACAAGGTAAAACTGGAGGGTTGTGAGATGAGAGGAAATAACAAAAAACCTTTTTCAAAAGTTTTTTTTTTTTATCTTTTTTGACCTCAAACTATAAACTATTCGAATGAAATTATGTGAGTTTAGATGTAAAAGCTCCATTCAATCACTGCTGTGTTTGGAAGGTTGAGAGCTGCTGTATAATCTCTAATAGTGAATCATATTTTATATTTTAATGTTAGATATAAATCTGCAAAGTAACTAGTAACTATAACTGTTAAATAAATGTAGGTTAAGTATCATGTTTGCCTCTGAAATGCAGTGAAATAGAAGTAAGAAATGCTCGTTTGTGAAGAACATCATTTTCACTGGATGCACCTGTCACACATTCTGGTGTGCAAAGACGGTTTTTCAAGCTCTTGAAAAAGCAAATACAACCCAGATCGAATCCAAAATAATTATTATAGCCTAATAATAAATATGCAGGTGTTGGAGCTGTGGCCAAAAACATTTGATTCCTGTGTAGAGCCAGTGTGGGGTTGAAGTATTTCACTTTTACTTAAAGCAACTAGAAAAAATGTTACAAATTTTCTTCCATATTTTTGCTTTTATTCAAGTCCTGCTGCCCTCTGTTGCACCTGCCACACACGTCCAACGATACAGGGTTTCTGGGATCAAACTGACAGTATTTTTAATGGTGTAATAATATAGATTTATGAGTTGGTGGTGTTGCTTATATTTACGGTATATTGACACACATCTGCAGGGCCAGAGCTTTTTAAAAGGAAACTTGGCTGGTGATGGTTTAAAGCTTTTCCTCCTCCTTCTCCTCCTCCGCCTCCCATCATGCATCCCTGTGCCCGGTGGCACCACCAGCGTTGGGTCAGGAGGGCATGGTTCCAGAGGAGGGGCAGTGGCCAGTGAGTGTGGGGACTAGCTGCGCCTAACGAGGTGATTAAAACGATAAGGGGAAGCACGGATGACTTGCCGTGGCCTGCAGCCACCGCCATGCTTATTGCCACCACACAGACACACACACACACACACACACACACACACACACACACACACACTGTGAGTGAGAGAGTGAAGTACTACCACAGTGCCAGAAGGACCATATCAGTGAAAACTCAGCGTGTGTGTGCGGGTGTGAGAGAGAGAGAGAGAGAGAGAGAGAGAGAGAGAGAGAGAGAGAGAGAGTGTGCACGTGTGTGAGATGACGGACAGCTCGCCTTGGGCTCCGGCCGGGTCCGTGGAGTGTGTGTGACACAGAGAGACTCACAGCGGGGTGTATCGGAGACATGTCAGGACCAGGAGACAGAGGCCTCCTGACAGCTGGAGCCCACGGTCACACACACATGGCCCACCACCCTAATTGCTCCACAGACGGGGAAGTGGAGATGCTTGGTGGTCTGCGCCCGCCCGGACCCCTCCTCAGTCCGTAAGGCCCTTGGCCAAAGACATGGAGGACCCCTCCAAGGCTGTTTTGTTTGTGCCTGCTGCAATTACATCCCACAGCTGATGTACTGACTGTGGAGACAGCGAGGCGAACTGCAGGGTGGTGGAGTCACCAGAGAGATGGTCCTTTCAGTCAGGAGGATGACGTTTGGTTTAGTCATGGCAGTGCTGGTAAAAGACCTCACTGGATTGTCTTAGATGTGTTGTTTATGTGCACTGAATCTCACATTGAGTCTGTTTAATACAATTTGTCTTTGTTGTGACACAAGCTCAGCAGTCAGACTGTATGAACATTAAACATATGACCAGGTATTTAAAGGCAATATGGAGAATTATCACCCACTCTGCAGTTCCCCTCAGCTTTATAGAGAGCATCTTTCAGCTCATTGTTTAGTTTTAGGGCCAGGGGCGTTTCTAGACTGTTTTGACTGGGGTGGCACAAGTGGGGTACTGACTTTTACAGGGGGGGCATGAAGTCTGTGTCTCAGTCTTTCAATCATTTTCAGTTTATGCAATTCCAATATTGTTTAGGACCCCAGTCTGTAGTAATGTTTAAAGACACTATGCAAAAGTAACACATTTATACCACCTCCAAGAAATGGCATGGGATTCACATAAAGTAGGCATGTAAAAGCGAGACTCGAGGGTACCCATAGAACCCATTTTCATTCAGATATCTCAAGGTCAAAGGTCAAGGGATCCCTTTGAAAATGGCCATGCCAGTTTTACCATCGCCAAAATTTTGCCCAACTTTGGAGCGTTATTTATTGCTCTTCCCGACATGCTGGCATGTAATGGTTGGTACCAATGGATGCCTTAGGTCATCTAGTTTCATATTATATCAGCTCTATTTAAAATCTAACCAACTGCACACAAGTTAGCTGTTAGTTGGTGAACACAGTGAAGCATTTAGAAACTAAAGAGTCAGATCAACTCGTTCGGCATATCAACTTAAAAGCTGAAGTTAGTAGTGTGTGTTGGTGGCCAAAAATCTGTGTAGTTATTAAGTAATTTTTTTAATCTATGCTGGAAAATAGGCAACATCTGCATGTCCTCTGAATAAAGAGATGAGCACCTGTGGGTATGCATATCTGCACAGAAATAAGGTCACAGACAGCTCTGTAAGCATTGCAATGAAATAATCAACTCAATGCATATTCACAGAAACCTTTTTTCTTTTTTGCTTTCATTTTAGAGTAATTCTCCAAAAAATATTAGGATTATGGAAAACTTATCCTGTCCATCACCAAGAAGATGGAAAACGTTTCTTTGACACGGCTCACCCAGTATACTCATTCAGTGCAATCCTTTTCACACAACTCAGTGTGTTCAAAACTACCATTATTATAGCACCAAAAGAATATTTCAACCAAGGTTATCTGAAAACCAAACTCAGCCACGCTTGTTTCATTTCAGTTCTTGCAAGCTATTGAAATGAACGGATCCAACTTGTTACACCGCTTAAAAAAAACTCACAAGGCTTCACTTATTCACTTCAGGGTGAAATACTCCTTTAAAACGACCACTTTAAGAACATGAGTTTAGCCTGGGTTGAGATGCCCCCTCAGTGTGGTTCCCATAATCATTCAGAACTGGCAGACACACAGGAAGCAGTACACTGATTTATGATTATGATTATTCTTTGCCGGGCTTATATCACCAATCCAGCTGAGGCCTAATATTGCAGAGTTTCTGCGGAAATAAGATGCAAATTTGAAACCAGGTTTTTGGGAAAGGATGCAATTGTATTCTGAGCTAACACAAAAAAAAATCTAAATATTTTATAGACCATAAAAAACACCCTTTTTGTGTGGGTGGATGTCATATTAAAGAAGCTGTCATCAGAAAGTTGCAAAGTGACGTCTGTAATGGAGTTATTTCTCTAATCAGTCAGAGCTCAGTAGACCCTGCAGCTGTCTGAGCCGCTTGTTACAACAAAAAACACCTTGAACTCGTGTGACATACTCCCACCTGTCACCTATCACACACACACACACACACACAGTTTCGAACATTCGGGGAGCAGTGGGATGGAGCTGTGAAATGGGAAGGATTAGTCACTTTGTCAGGAGATGTATGAGGCTTCTCTCAGGTGGACGGCAAGCCACAGGGGGCATCTGGGAGAGGGAGAGGGGAGCGAGAAGAAATTAGAGGCCAGGAAGAGAAGACAGAGAGGAGCAGACGTGCAGGAGAAAAATTGAAAGTGTGCAAAAATGAAGACGGAGTGGGAGAAAATGCCGTTTGTGAGGCACAAAAAGGAGACGGTGGAAGTTTTGGCGACTGAGCATTTAGTCCCACAAACTCTGAATTTGACAGCGATGTAACTCGCCTCCTCTCGCATTTGCATCACTTACATCACTGGGA